CAAATTTTCCACCCACTCAGCTGTCATCACCACCCCCATCACGGTCCCCATCATCATCATCATCATCATCAAGAATTCACTGCCTATAGTGGATAACATTGTAATAACTATGAATGATGCCATATGTCTGCTAGACTTAGCGGGTGATCACTTTCTAATCACTAGATTGCACCCCCAAAACTAATATAATATTGTATGTCAACTGTAATTGAAAAATAAAATAAAATAAATTTTTAAAAAGTCACTGGCAGTGGGTGCAGGTGGCCTGGGAGAGGTCCCTGGGGGGAAAAGGAGACTTATGTAATACTTTAAACACTAAAGAATTTAAATTAAAAAAAAATAAAGAACATACAAATCCCCTGGCTACTAATGCAGTTCTTTAAGAATATACTTTAATATAAATTTGTATTTGAGCACCTTCATTCATAACTTTAAAAGCCATAACTGTACCTATTTCAACACAAATCTGAGATTGTAAGGTCCATGAAGGTTTTTTATCTTTGTTTCCTGATGTATCCCTAACACCAAAAATTTAATAGTATGTTTCTACACTTATGCCTTGAGCTTGCTAATTGAAAATTTGTTCTATCATTCTTATTGCATTGACAATGTAAGGTTTGGGTAGGGACTGAAAGAGAAAATCAGAGGAAGCATGAATTACCATATATTAATTGATTATTATTTCTAATAGCAAGAACTTCAGTGCCTTTAGCTTGTGCCTATGCAGGTATAGAAATGAATAATAAACAATTCATTATCTTTTAGAATTTATTTTTTTAATGAAGTATGAATAACTAAGTACTTTCTGTCCAATGACTTGTGTGAATTTCTATGTAAGACATAAGAGAATGTCTGTAATCTCTTCTTTTGCTTGGGAAGATGTGACCATCCTTGGGTCTCTTGAATAATTGCTTGGACCACTCCTAGGCCACCCATAGTGTTTCAAGATCAATGTACATGATCTAGTCATATAGGCATGTGGCTCTGTGGATTGTGTACTAATCAGGGAATTGTTAAAACACCTGTGATTATACTTTTATTTTATTTTTATTTTTTATTTATTTTAAATATATTTTAATGATTTTTTACAGAGAGAAAGGGAGAGGGATAGAGAGTTAGAAACATCGATGAGAGAGAAACATGGATCAGCTGCCTCCTGCTCACCTCCTACTGGGGATGTGGCTGCAACCAAGGTACATGCCCTTGACCGGAATTGAACCCGGGTCTCTTCAGTCCCCAGGCCGACGCTCTACCCAGTGAGCCAAACCGGCTAGGGCTGTGATTATACTTTTAGCTATTTCGTTACACAATCATTACTATTTTTCATTAAACTATAGATAGTGATTTAGAAAAAAAAACATCACTCCCTACCTAAGATGAACTGCTGGAAGACAAAGGCGAGCTGGAACTGGAAAGCAGGGCTAGGGACCAGGACCAGGGAGAGACGGGGTTCCTTCTGGGACGGTGAACCCTGGGGAGGGCCAATCCAGGAGCCACTGAAACTCCCATATCCCAACAACTCAAACTCTTTCTCCTTCTTCCATTGTCAACTTTTTAGTAGTTCGGGCCTTCTCAGTGCTTATTCCTTCACTTCTCTTTCTTTATTCATGACCCCAATGTCTTTATTCATGACCCAATGTCTTTTTTAGTCAAAATAAAGTTCCTCCCACCCCCCACTCTCTTGTCCTCTCTCTTCCCTGATTCCAGGCTCCAGGTTCCTTCCTTCTCTTTGACCCACCTGCCATCTGCATGAACCTCTCCTTTGCTGTGCTCAACACCTGAACACGCAGTTAAATCCATTTTATCTCACCGGCTTTTCCCCTCTAACTGTTATATTGTAAATCAGAAGATGCTTTAATCAATAAGCCAAATTTATTTGGAGTCTTTTTCATTTCGCTAACACTAGCAGGCCCACAGGAAATATTGCTTCTCAAATTCTGGGGCCCAATATAGTGGAAGTCCTTTCTATTTATACATTTTTCAGCTTTTTGTCTTCCGAATTTGGAACAAGACTTCTGGACCTTCTGAGAAAAAGTCCTGTGTGCTGGGCCAGGGCTGTGAGACCAGACCTCAAGGCCTGGCCTGGCGCCAGCACTGACAACTCTGTCTGGGGCATAGTTTATGGCCTCTCTGGAATGGGAGTAGTCTTATTTTTCCCTATTATTTAAGCACGCAAATGTTTACAGAAGCCAGAATAGCAGGGTTAAAGTTTTAAACGGCAGTTTTTACCCAAGATGGAAGTTACTATGCTTCCTAACAAGGTCAGTCCATGCCTTTGTCTCCCACACACCCCTGCTCCCTGCTCTGTCTAGGGATCATGAAGTCAGGGATTCGGTAGACTTTCGAGAAAGTGGGTGCGTTCTTCCCATCTCCTCTCCAGCTCCTGGGCCAGCTGCCTCAACTCTTCAGCAGACTGAGCCTTTGCGCCCTTATGTAAGTGCACTGACTCTATAACTAGCTCAATTACATCCATGAGAATGAAAACACCTGCCGTGGTTGCACCAACGATCCTGGCTTCTTTGTTCATGGCCAGAGCAGTGCCTCCAAAAGCTTTCTGCACCTGCTTGTCGCTTGGGGCTGACATTGTCCCCGCGCGCATGAAGCTCCTGGCCTCAGCTGCTAAGACAGGATTGGATTTGGCCAGATTGAAGGCACGGGCATTCTTCACAATATCTATCACGGATATGGAGCACTTTCTTGCTAAGGAAACAATTTTGGGTGCGCTTCCAAGTAGAAGCTCCTGGACCACATTCCCTTTGTCACTGCCCTTCGACACTAGGCACCTGGCTTTGGCTTTTGCTGACTTGTTCTTTGAGTCTTCCACGATGTCCGCTGTCACACCAGTCACAGCAGCTGCTGCCCCGAGTCCCATCCCAGTTGCCGAAAGCACCAGACTAGCCCCTAGTGTCACAGGTGCCAGAGACAGGCCAAGGATGGTCAGGATGCCAGACACAATGCTGGTGGAAGAGGCCGCCACTTTGGAGATGGTGCAGTCCCTGTGCACCTTGTCCACCTCATCCGCAAGTGCGTAGAGCTTTCCTATGCATTCCTCAATGAACTGTTTCTCCTGAGGAAACTGCTTCATAAAGCTCTCCCTAAACTCCTGTTCTATTGAGGGCATGTCTTTGTCCTCCTCGGCCATGAGTGTTTCCTGCTGGCGCAAGTCTGCATAGAGTGCATCTGCCACATCCCTGCAATCATGAAGGACAGGTGATTAACGAAGGCAAGTGTATGAATTGCTAAAGCTGAGACCTGGGATTGGATGAGCTGGTGCAGGAAGCCCTGTCCTCTATGGTGAGAACATGTGAGTCTACTCAGAAGCCCTCAGATGACACCACATTGGCAGCCCCCATTCTGACTGGAAGTGGTCACTAAGCCTCACTGCCTTCCCTCTGGTCAGGGTTACTCCATGGAGAATAGAAGAGGGTCCCACAAGGAGGTCAGGAGCCCTCCAACTCAAAGACAGGGTTGGAGGACATAATCACCCAGGGCCCTCTACCCCCAGGAGTGAGGGGATCAAATCAGGGATAAAAGAAATGTACCTCCCCAGCCCCCAACACAGTTCTCTCCTAGGCCTGGGGCTTTCTCAGTCCTGTGCCCAGGTGCCTCAGCTGCCTCACTGTAGTCCCAGCCACACTGCCAAGCCTTCCTACCATCCTCCCACCAGGACCCACCCTTGCTCCATCCAGACCCTGGGCTCTGACCCTGCTCCAGGCCTCTCTGGGCCTCCGGACAGCATGACTGCACCTGCTTCCTTGCCCTTGACCCTGCAGTTCACCCCAAGGCCTTCACCATAGTCCTATCAATCAGACTTGCTATTCCATTGAAGAGGGAGATGACATAAGCCCAGAGCCCCAGAGCCGGGCAGAGATTCAGTCAGGATTCAACCCAACACGGTCCAGCTTCACTCCAGCTCTCCCCCTTCCAGGCCAGCAGATCTCTGCAGAGTCTGTAAAATCCCTTTCTTAGGGAGAGCAGGCTCTCTAGCCAAAATCCCCAGGGACACAAACTGTCAGGATTTTCCTAGCTTGTCCCAAAGGAAGTCCTGCGTGGCTCTCTTGTCCAACAAGTAGACATTTGGGCCCTGTCTATTCCCAGCATCTTTTTAAAAAATATATATTTTATTGATTTTTCACAGAGAGGAAGGGAGAGGGATAGAGAGACAGAAACATCGATGAGAGAGAAACATCAATCAGCTGCCTCCTGCACCCCCCCCCCCATTGGGGATGTGCCCGCAACCAAGGTACATGCCCTTGACCGGTATTGAACCTGGGACCCTTGAGTCCGCAAGCCGATGCTCTATCCACTGAGCCAAACCGGTTCTGGCCCAGCATCTTTTTAAAAGTTCATGTGAACTGCCCACCTACTATGTGTCAGTCAATAGGCTAAACAGTTTACATGCATTAACTTATTCTCCTTACAATGATATGAAACAGGTGAAAAGACAGAGAGTGGTTAAGTAACGGGCCCAAGGTCATGTAACCCTCCCCCTGCAGGCCTCATCCCTTCTCAATCTGAGGCCCTTCTCTGCCGATGAATGATATGAAGGAAATGTTCCTCATGGACTGTTGAGAAGGAACTTGTTCAACCCCAAACTCAGGACCGGCCTGGAGGAGTGTGCCAGCCAGGGGAATCTAGATGCAGGGGAGATGGGGTGACAATACAGGCATCCCCTGGAGGTTACCTGGACACCTTGCCTGCAGCCACAAATCTCTCCCAGGATTCATCACTCAGGAAGTGTTGAAGTTTCTCTTTGTTAAATGGGTCATTTAAATACTCAATGGCAACAACAAACTCTTCGTCCTCTAAATGGAAAGAAAAAAGAATAAGGTTAGAAGAAATGCTGGTAGAATGGAAATGGAATTGAGTATAAACAATTGAGTATAAATGTTCATCTTCCTGAGCGGCTGTCACCTGGCGGACTTTTTTTTTTCTTAACCTGGGGTGCTTTTGGTGAGTCACCTGGTGCTAGGGATGGAATTGTGTCCCCCCAAATTTATATGTTGCAGCCCTGACTGCCCATGTGACTGCATTTTATAATTAAGGTTAAATGAGGTCATATGTGTGGCACCCTAATCCATTGTGACTGTTGTCCTTATGAGGGAGGGAAAGACACAGATCTCTCCCCCCCACACACACTTGTCTTTCTCTCTCTCTCTCTCTCTCTCTCTCTCTCTCTCTCTCTCTCTATATATATATATATATATATATATATATATATATATATGTGTGTGTGTGTGTGTGTGTGTGTGTGTGTGTGTGTGTGTGTTTAAGACAGATATGTGCCTCATCCTGCTCCTTTTTCACAGTGGTTAGAGCATCGGATAGAGGACCAAAGGGTTTAGAGTTCTATTCCTCAGTTGAGGTGCCCTGGCACCAGTGGGGGCTCCTGTAGGGCGACCAATTGATGTGTCTTTGTCCCTGGACTACCACATATTCAGTCTCTACAAATCAAGGGAAATACATTTTAATATATATATTTTTTTATTGAATTTTTACAGAGAGAGATAGAGAGTTAGAAACATTGATAAGAGAGAAACATCGATCAGCTGCTTGCTGCACACCCCCTTCTGGGGATGTGCCTGCAACCAAGGTACATGCCCTTGACCAGAATCAAACCTGGAACCCTTCAGTCCACAGGCTGTCACTCTATCCACTGAGCCAAACTGGTTAGGGCGGGGAAATGCATTTTTTAAAAAGTGTGACTCTCAGGTTTTTGGAGACCCTGGAAATGCAGAATGGGGACTGGGGACTGGTGCATGTTTTGTGTGCACAGAGACAGGATGTAAATGTGTTTTCTGCCATATACACACAAGGGACATTATTCTTATTTCACAGAATAAAAAAGTGAAAATCAGACAGGAAAAGAAGACCCAAAGCCAAGAAGCAGAAAGCTCACAGGTGGCATCCAAAGCCAACCATCAGACATTTCCTTACATTAGGTTGAAGCCTCCTTGTAGTTCAAAAACTCATGTGATTTCTGCATTCTACCCTACAGTTTGCCTACAGGACTTTTTCAAATCTATACTAATAAAAGGGTAATGTGCTAATTAGACCAGGTCGACCAGCCATCTTCTGGCATCTGACTTCCTTCCTGATAAAGCCATGGTGGTGGGGTCCGAGGCAGAGGCAGTTAGGGGTGATCAGGCCGGCAGGGGGTTAGAGGCAATTAGGCAGGCAGGGGACGAAAGTTGGCAGTGACCAGGCGAGCAGGGGAGGGCAGTTGGAAGCAAGATCAGTCCTGCAGGGGAGGGCAGTTGGCGGCGAGATCAGGCCAGCAGGGAAGGGCAGTTAGGGGCAATCAAGCAGGCAGGCAGAGGAGGATTAGAGGTGATCAGGCAGGCAGACAGGTGAGTGGTTAGAAGACAGG